TCAGATATTTTATATACTAGACATTTACATTATGATTTATAACAGCAGTAAAATTACTGTTATGAAGAAGCCAATGAAAGAATTTCATGGTTGGGGGTCACCACAACATGAGGAAATGTATTAAAGGGTTGCAGCATTGGGAAGGGTGAGAACCACTGCTCTAGAATATTGAGATCTGTTTGCTTCCCGTTACTGTTTGTATATGTGTTGGACACACACACATACACACACACACACACACACACACACACACACACACACACACACACACAAATGCATGTGCCTATATATATTAGAAGCCAGGGGAGGGTGTTGGGTGTCTTCCTCTATCATTCTCCCTCTTACTCCTTTGTGGCAGGGTCTCTCTGGAACTTGGAGCTCACATTGTTTTGGTTAGCTGGCAGCCAGAAAACCTCAGTGATATCTTGTCTCTTTACCCCCAACCCCCAGCACAGGGCATTTCAGGCAAAAGTGGTGCTATGGTACCTGGGTGCTAGGTGTTCAAGGTTGCACATAGACTCAGGATAGTTTGGAACTTGCAGCAATTCCCCTGCTTCAGCTTTCAGAGGGCTAGGATTACATGTGTGAATTACCACATATCCCTTTCTTTCCCTTTTCTTTTGGTGTATGTGTATGTGTGTGTGTTCCAGGACGACCTTAGTTGTTATTAAGGTGGGTGATGTTAATCACCTTGAAATTTTTTTTAAAAAATTATTTATTTACTTATGTAGTGTGTACGTGGGTGTGCCATGCTATGTGAAGAGCTCTCAGGACAATTTGTGGGCGTTGGCTCTTTCTTTGTATCATGTGGGATTGAACTCAGGTTTTCAGCTTGGTGGCTAGTCCTTTTCCTCACTGAGTCACCTCACCAGCCCTACTACTAGCTTTTTTTTTTTTTTTTTCTTTTTTTAAAGAAAGGGTTTCTCTGTGTAGCCTTGGCTGTCCTGGAACGTGTTCTGTAGACCAGGCTGGCCTTGAACTCACCTGCCTCTGCCTTCCAAGTACTGGGATTAAAGGTGTATATCACCATGCCAGGCTACTATTACCTTTTTGGAGACAGTTTCCAACTGGCTTGCAGCTTACCAAGTAGGCTAGGCTAACCAGCCAGTGAGTGAGTTCCACCCCACTCTGCCCCCATGTTGAGGTTACAATCACGTGACACCACACCCAGCTTTTTAAATGGGAGCTCTGGTCACTGAACTCAAGTCTTCACGTTTACACAGCAATCACTTTAGTGCTGAGCCATCCTCCCTTCTTCCCATCTCTCTCTCTTCATGCCTCCCCACTATGTGGGCTCTGGTGGAGACCATCACCTGCCTCTCACTCGGTCATACTCCTTTACTGCCCACCTGCCTGCCTTCTCAGAAGCTTCTGAGGCTGCTCCTCTTTTCAGACCCTCCCTGCTCTTCTTTATTACCTCAGGCAAGCACCTGGGGAGCAGGGTATCAGTCAGCAGCTATCTCCTTTTCCTCAGCTAAGAAAGGATCCTCACTGATGGTATTCCAGTGTGAGGCACTCTGTAATGGGACTTGAGGGCAGTGGGGGCGGGGTTTGGGCTGATGATGCATCACAGTGCAATGGGGAGTCTGCTCATACTGTGTATGTGAAGAACTTCCTTCATAGGCAATGCCAGCACGGTGTATGGTAGAGCACACCTGACATCCCAGCACCATGGAGGACCGCCATGTGTTTGAGACCAGACTGGGTTACACTGAGTTCTAGGCCAGCCTGGAATCAGCAAGTGCCAGGCCCTTTTCAGTCTTCGACTTCTGACCCTTCTGTATAAGGATCCTTAGTGAAGGGATAACAGGTATGCTTGATAACACCTGGTGTGTGTGTGTGTGTGTGTGTGTGTGTGTGTGTGTGCCAAAGATGAAACTCAGGGCCTTGCATGTGAAGTCAGCACTCTATGGCTGAGACATGCACTTAGCTCTTCACTGGGATTCTAGGCAGGGGCTCTACCACTGAGCCACACCTCAGTCCCTCACTGGGGGATTCTAGACAGGAGCTCTAATACTGAGTGAGCCACACCCCTAGCTTGCATCTGTTCCTTGTACTGAGTTTCATTAAAAGTTCTCACATTGTTCTTCCTCTCCTGATGGTCCTTGAGACCCAATGAATTTCCCATGTCTTGCGCTGCACAGCAGCCCATTCATCCTCCCAAGGATGCCCACCTTTCTGTCAACACAGGAAGATAAGAACACAGGAAGTCAACCCTTGCCTATTAAGCAATCTGTGGTCCTGTGGCCATCTCCCCACATCCCAGATACTATAAACTGCAAATGACAGTCCCTGGAGGGCCCAGCTTGGGTGTTGCCTGAGGCTGTTGACTGGTTGCCTAGAAACTCAAGTGCCCTGTTCTCTAGGTCAATGCCACTCAAACTCCCTGTAGATGCCGTGTTCTTTTAGCTGTTTGTCTTTGGTGGCTCCTGTGCCCAACCTCATCTTTAGGTAACTTTCACTATTCCTCCAGCCTAGACATCCCCTGCCTGACACCTGACTCCACTTCCTTCCCCTCCAAGGCCTCTCCTATTTCTCCCTATCTGGGTCACCAAGCATTTTGAATTCCTATGATAGGTATCTACTGAGGGTTCCTCTCAAAACCCTGTAACTGTGTGCAGCTTGGCTTTTTGAGACAGCCTTTTTCTGTGTAGCCCTGGCTGTCCTGGAACTCTCTGTAGACGAGGCTGGCCTCAAACTCACAGAAATCCACCTGTCTCTGCTTCCAGAGTATCAGGATTAAAGGCGTGTGCCACCATCGCCTGGTTATAGTTTGACTTAAGAATCAGGACAGCTTCCTTCACAAACTGCTACTCCTTTTGTGTCCCTCTTGCACCTCTCCCAACCATGTTCTTCACACTTGGCCTCTTCCCTTCCCAGAGCTCAAGTTTTCTCCAATTAAAACAAGTTATTTAGAGACATGTTTATTTTATGTGTTTGAGTGTCTTGTCTGTATAGGTATGTGTAGCCCATGTGTGCCCGGTACCCAAGGAAGTCAAAGAGGACATCAGTTCTCCTGGAGCTGGAGTTACAGATGTGCCGGTGCTGGGACCAGAACCCAAGTCCTCT